TCCTCCTCCTCCATTCTACAACTGGAACGGTCTGAATTAGCATAAACCTTCGAGGTCCGCGCAGATTTCTTGGATCGGCGCTGGACCCCCCTGGCGGCGCCTCCAGCACGCCCCCGGCGCGCTTCGCGCGCCAGGGAGGACTTAAGCGCCGACGCAATAACTCCAAGCGGACCTCCAAAAGCTCACTCGATCCTCCTCGCGGGTCCTCCTCGGTCCTCGGTCGAAGCCAGCACACGATGCCTCCCTACCGCCTGCGCCTGCCCTTGGGCCACTCGCCGGTGGAGCCCGCGAGGAGGGCCTTCTTCTTCTTCTTCGTCGAGCTGCCAGGCGCCGCCTCGGAGGCGCCCTGCGCCTGGCTCCCGGCAATGGAGCAGCTCTTGGACCACGGGACGGGCCAGTCCTTGAAGCCGTGGAAGGCGTCGGTGAAGAGCCGTTTCTGTTCCATGGTTCGGGTGTTGCTAGAAGTTCGCCTGGCCCAAGGTGCCCCCCGGAGCTCCAAGGAGGCCCCGACGGCCCCCCAAGATTTCCAGAGGCCCAGAGAGCCCGAGGGGCCCCAAAGTTGATCGGAAAGCTGGGGGCGCCTTGGGCCAGGGGCACCTTTCGCAACCTCCAGAGGGTGACCAGGTTCACGTACGCGTAGCCCAGGCTCCTGTTGGAGCGGCCCTCGAGGGGCAGGTGCACGACGCCGTAGCGCCCCGCAAATCCCTTTCTCTTCATCTCCTTGATCAGGGCGGCGCGCGTTAAGTCGGGCGGCAGGTTGCGCATGAGCACTGTGGTGGCCCTAAGATCGATCGGGGCGTGCGTGCTGCCCAGAGCCGAGGCCTGCACTGAAGAGCAGCCCGGCTGCTCGCATACGCCCAGACCTGGAACGAACGCCGAGGCCCTGCTGCTGAGAGGCGTGGGGACGAACGCCGAGAACGCGGAGGCCTTGCTGCTGAGAGGCGTGCGGCCGCCGGCAAGCGCCTGCGCGAGAGCGGGCCCTGTCCCCAATGGCTTCTCCTCCGTCGCCCCCTCTTGGGAGAACAGAGCGATACCGATGCCGCCACTCCCCGGACCTGTCCCCAAGCAAGATCGACAATCCTGCACGCATCGGGCCGAGTCGGATCACTGGAGCATCGGAACCGAGACAGATCCATCGAACCGGCTGGAATCGATACGGACTCCGATCGATCGGATCGAAATGGACCCTGCAGGGGTTGGCTCGGACCAGGATTTCGAGGCGAATATGGCCGCGGCGACGAGGGATGTTGAGGGTGAACGCTAGGGGGGGGCTGACGCAAGGGGGGACAACATCGAACTGGAACCGGCGATACATCGCCAATAAATCGGCGATGGGCCCCCGATAGCGACACTGGACGTACCAGGGTGCGGTAGGCTACCAGGCCCCTGTCGGCGATGAATGGGCGATTGATTGTCGATGCGTCCTCCCCACCGAGCCTATCCCTCCTAACGTTGCCTCGTGGACTCCAGGTCATAACTCAAACTCTCAGGCGGCCGATCGGGACGATTCGGGCCTCCCCAGAGCGCCCTCGGGAAGGCGCAGCTGCTGGAGAGCATCCCGAGGCTGGAAAGCCGCGGAGAGCAGCAAAGACGCGCGAGACCCCTCCAACGCTGCCCCCGAGACGAGGGACGGGTGGCGGTGTCGATCTGTGCTCCTCCTCCGGGCCTCACCGGGCGAGACGGAGCGGGACCACGGCATGAGGTCAGCGGAGGCGCAGCAGCTGGACCCGTCCTCCTCCTCCGCCTCGATCGCGTCGTCGGTCGCGTCGGCCCAGCTGCCCAGGCTGCTGAGCCGCGGGCACGCGGAAGAGTCATCCTTCGGAGGGCAAGAGCTCAAAAGGGGAAGCGATACCGATACCGCTGATAGTCTTGGAGAGCCCTCGTCGCCATGGCTGGATTCGCCTCAAAGTCCTGGTCGGAACGCATCCCCTGGAGAAGTTCGGAGCGTAGCAGTATCACTACCTTGTTGCCCCCCCACCCCAAACAAGTACTAATGCCACGCTGGCCGGACGACCCCATCAGCGTGCCATGAATGAGTAGCAATCGGCTTCTATGCAAAAGCCGAATGTGCAACACGCACGGTTTGGGAGACGACGCGTATGCCATTAATACCCTTTGTCCCCAGTTCGGTGGCAATTCATGTGAGACTCCCATACAATCTTGCTGACTCTTGCGAATCGATGCGAATCGACCCTAAGCGAAACTAGATCGACGCGGAATCGAGGCTGGTCGATGCTAAATCGGCACTGTCTCACCGATTACCAGACGGCAATCGACGCTAGCGCACTATAGAAACGGAATTACGACGGTACACAAGGCTCCCATGATCCTCGCTGTAGGCGCCGTCGTCATCGAGGGCGGCGCAGTGGGCACGGATGCAGGGGCAGGAGCTGGCCCGGACCATGGCGCCGCCTGCAGCGGGAGAGTCGTCCTCGTCGACGAACTCCACGAACGTGTTCTTGATAGTCGCGATCGTCCGGACCTCGGAGGCCTGCGACATCCCGTGCTGAGGGGTTCGAATGAAGAGTGCAAGTCCGCCCCCGTGCCAATACGATGTGGAGCGTTAGACTGCCTGCCATAGCGGAAGAGACGATGACATAAACATAAACTGTTGGAGGCCCGCGCGGACTTCTCGGATCGGCCCTGGGCCTCCCTCCGTGGCGAGCCAGGCTCCAGGGCCGATCCGATAAATCCGCGCGGACCTCCGGAAGTTTTCTGTTTATGTCATTGCTCGTTCCCGATGTTCCGTAGCCCCTCTGGTTCAAGCCGTCTGGGGAGGGGGGGAGGGGGAGGGGGGAGGGGGGAGAGGAGGAGGAGGAGGAGGAGGAGGCGGAGGAGGAAGAGGAGGTGATGAGGAGGAGGGAGGAGGAGGAGGAGGAGGAGGAGGGGGCGCCCGACGCACCGCCAGGGCCGCCGGCACCACTGGCGCCCCCGCGGCGCCCGCGCTCGCGCTCCGCTCCATCCTTGGCCCAGCGGCCACGACGGACCCGCTGATCGATGCTCTCCCTCCCTCCCCCTCCCCCTCCCCCTCCTCCTCTCCTCCTCCTCCTCCTCCTCCTCCTCCTCCTCCTCCTCCTCCTCCTCCTCCTCCTCCTCCCCCCTCGTCCTCCCCCTCCTCCTCCTCCACCAGGCCCCGATCACCCCAGCTCCGAGCAGGGATGGCTCCTGGTCGAGGACTCACCCGAGCCGCCGATCCCGTGCTCCAGAGGACGCCCAGCGCCCTGGGGACGGAGGAGTGGAGGATGAGGAGGGGGAGGAAGTAGCGCTCTCGGAAGGTGGAGATTTTGTCGTTTCCAGCCGAATAGTCTCACCCAAACACAGCCGCGCGTTCAGCAATGAGGGTGCTGCCGCCCCCTTGTGTCCCCGGGTCCGAGTTCGTTCCACATTCACAATCCCCCCCCCTCGCCCAGAAGGGAGGCACGAGCGCAGGAGGGCAGCCACCATGGTGGCCCTGGACCTCCACGGAACTCGGGAGACCAAGCCCCCGACGCGGGTGGACTCAGCCCCGCTGGCGACACTTCATTTGCCCCTGCTCCCCCGCTGCTCCGGCTTGAAGCCGCCCTGGTAAGAGTGCTGGCGACCATGCCTCCAGTGTCGGCAGCGTTGCTTGTCTCCCTGGAGCCGTTGACACGAGTACCACCATCCCCCCCCCGATGCGACGGCTTGGTGCCGCCCTGGTACCGTCTCTGTGTCCAGTGTTTCCTCTAATGCTGACCCGGTTTTGTGCTGCCCTAGTGTGAACGCAGCACTGCTGTCTCCCCACTCCCCTTGTTGTCCCGGCTGTTTTCCGCCCTGGTGCCCCACGTTTCCTCTCACGCTGGCCCGGCTTTTCGCCGCACTGGCTGCGTGGATGCAGTAGAACATGTCGCCACGCCGTTTGTCCTCGACACGCCCAAAGTGGACGGAACCGACACCGCGGCAACGCCAGAGCAAACCCTGCGTCCGAGGCGGAGTTTGCCCTTGTGGCCGAGGCGCCCTCCCCAAGACGGAAGGCCGCGCGTCGGCAGAAGCGGCGTGGCGAGACATTAGGACAGCTCCAAACAGTACACCCCCACCAGCCCTGGCCAGACCCATCCTGGGCCCTTGACTGGCGTACAGGTCCTCCTGGCCTAGGCCTGCAGGTCTATACACCAGTTCAGGGCCCAAGATGTACATGGCCATGGCTGGTGGTGGTCTACTGTTGGCGTCCCTCCGAGACATTCTTCTCACGATGAATCAGTTTTTTGCCGCCCTGGATCTGAGGTGCCCCACGGCGAGAGGAAGGCCGACCTGGTGGCGCGCCCAGAGACGCAGCAGGGGCTGCCCCAGCCTTCCCCGCGGGGGCAGGTCGGGACGCGACTGGGAGAAGCCCAAAGCGTCCCCGACGGTCTCCCCACAGTGCTCGCCAACGGTGGCAGCGGCAGAGGGCCCCCTCGTGGAGAGCCCTAATGCCGAGATCGCTCCTGGATCGAGCCGCAGTCACCGATCCCGGCCGCTCGACCGTCCGATCGGAGCCCGGTCGAGCCCTGGACGCCGATCACTCCTACCGCTCCTTTTGACCCGCGTGGGGGGGGTAGACGGGCCGCCCTCCGCCGCGTCGCAGCTTCCCCCGAGTAACGTCGGATGTTCGCCTTGGAGAAGGTTCCTATATACATGTCAGGATTGTCGCTCTACCCCGCCTGCCCCCAACACTTCAACTCAGTAGTTCAAGAGTTAGGCACGCTCCGAGTCATTTTATGTTCAAGCCTGGCTCTCAGGTTCAGGGGTGATGGTGTAAATGGCCTTTTCTTCGACGTGGCGGCACAGCACGTTTGGCCGCAGAGAACCTACTGGCAACCATCAGGGCGTCATCGGCCTTCCAGCCTTCCACTCTCGCCCATGAAGGTGTGACGGGCTGGTGCCCATGAAGGAGCGAGCTGCTGCCCATGAAGGATGGGACGGGCTGCCGGGCAGACTGCCCTGGCACTTCTTCGCCGCACCGCTTGCCCTGGGCATGGCGGCACGCAGGCGCGCCGAAGCGCACCTGCGCACCACAGGTGTGCGAGAACGTCCACCCGGATGCGAGGCCTCCGCCGCACGGCCGTGCTCGCAGCGCTCGGAGAGCTGCCCGCGGACTACGCCTCCACAGTAGACGCGGCCGGCCGGGCAGGGAGCCCCCGGAGGAGGAGGAGGAGGAGGAGGAGGAGGAGGAGGAGGAGGAGGAGGAGGAGGAGGGGGAGGAGGGAGGAGGAGGAGGAGGAGGAGGAGGAGGAGGAGGAGGTGCGCACACGCTCGGCCCTCCCGCGGCCCAGGGACGTCACCGCGGCGAGGGCTCGGGCGGACCGCGCCCGGCGCTCTCGCAGTGCGCGGGCGGTGAGCTGGCGCACATCAGGCCCCCCTCCTCCTCCTTCTCCTCCTCCCCTCCTCCTCCTCCTCCTTCCTCCTCTCCCCTCCTCTCCTCCTCCTCCTCCTCCTCCCTCCTCCCGTCCCTCCTCCTCCTCCTCCTCCACCGGGGCCCAGACGGCCGCACCCGGATGGCCACCTTCACAGCCAGGGCCAACGCAGGGCAACTTAGCTAGAAACGCCTTCCGTCGACGTGGGAGGCGAGATGAGCTCTGGCACGACGGCGCGGTCCCCCCGTGGGCCAGGTCTCGGGGTGACCCCGTCGAGGAGCTCTTTTTTGCTTGACCCCGTCGAGGAGCCGCCCGGCAGCCACCAAACGGCGCCCCAGCACCTGGCACACGACCTAGACAGTGACAGCCGAGGGCTGCTCGGCACCATGGACCAGATACAGGCTAGAACACTGACCATCCTGGATCAGGCCAACTACGAAACCTCATGGAGAGGGGCCCGAGCCAGTTCCAGCTTGTTTGCAACGGCACTGAGCGCGAGTCCCAGGCCAACGAAACGTTGGTCCGAATATGGGCCCCGGTGGCTCATGAGTGAAGGGAGGGCGCACAGACTGCGCCCACCCACATCCCTGAAAAAAACGCGTGCCGTCGGCCTCGCCAGATACCTCACCGACCTGGAGATCAGCGGCCGCCCCTTGTTCGACGCAGTAGGCGCGCACTTTGACCCGTGATGCTTGCAAAGGAGAGTGCTGGCCCTCATCAAGACTTGGTTCAACGGAGACCCAATCGCGCGCTCGAGCAGCCCCACTCCTGCCCAGCTTGCGATCACATTCGCGAGGGCCCACGCTTCTGCCAGGCAGCGCATGTCCTTAGCCCCACTGGTCTCCAGCCCCTTCCATGATGAAATCGGAAGACAGTTGATCGCCACCGGAAGACGCGACGGTCCCACCACCAACAGGCCAACGCGCCCCTAGACGAGCACTGGGGGGCCCGAACGCTGCATCAAGCGATCGGCTGCCCCCCGCTGCTACCCCGAGTCCCAGGACGGCGGGGCAGCTCCTGGGTTACTGCGTCTAGGCTTCTAAACGTTCGTTTTGGCTGCAGCCAAGTCTCCCGCGGTTCGCTGCCCCAGCGTCCTCTGGAGCTTCCTGTGATACGTCCCCTTGCCCCGTCAACTCGATTGGAGGCTTCGTGCTTAAATCACACTCTTGGCGACCTGCATCTTGCCATCTCTCAGGTACGCCGGTCTGGCCCCCCAGCCTGCTCGTCTGGAACGTGCGGTATCTCCGCAGCATCCTGGCCCACAGGAACCAAGCTAGGCTGGCCACTATCACCCATGCGACTGGAAGGCAACGCATCGCGCCCAAAACTGCCGCGAAACGGCCCAGCGGGACCCGAACATGCCCTCTATAAATCCCACAGGCCCCAAGAGGACGGCAAAAAACCTCGAATAAGCGGGCGGGAAGCCTCCAAAACGACTTCAAAAGGGAGGGAACACAGGAAAAGAACGACCGTACCCATGCAGAGGGAGGAAAAGTAGGGGGAAGGAGGAAAAGCAGGAGAAAGAGGAGGAGGAAGAGGAGACCGATGGTGCCTACAAGGACAGCGTGCTTAAGCCCCGCACCAGTTCAGACGAGGCTCTGAACTGGGGCGGGTCGTAAGGTTTTAAACTAAGCCTCCTATTCTGAACTGCTTCGCTGGCACGTCGGCGGGGATCGCCGCAGGCACCTGGATAATATGTAAACGCGGCTTCCACCAAACCGTGGAGCGGTAGCTATGTTTATCAACCGAACTGAGCTGTAGTGCTGGCGGGGAGATGGGAGAAGGAAACGGACATCCTCGCATTATCTGGCACACCCGCAACCAACCCGCACCAAACTGGCCACGGGATGGTCAGCACAAGGGCACTGTTATGTTTGGTCTGAACTAATCGGGCTGGCTGGCAAAGGCGAGGGGTTCAGAGCTTCTCTCGAAGGTGAGCACTGGGGCTTGAAAACCAATGCGGCCCGCACCAGTATTGAAAGAAAGCTCATATCGAGATTTCAAGCACTCGTTAACGAGCCTACAGGGCTACACGCTATGCAGATGCCCCTTCGGTCCACTATCTGTGTATGCCAACGTGGACCCCAAACGTTGTGTTTCTAGCCATTTATGTGATGTCATCTACGTCGTGCAATATATGCGGCTCAAT